TCTTGGGAGGAGAAGACTTTGACAATGCCTTGCTGGAATTCTTGGTGACCGAATTCAAGAAAACCGAGCGAATTGATCTTTCAAAGGATAGACTTGCACTCCAGAGGCTTCGGGAAGCTGCTGAGAAGGCTAAAATTGAACTCTCATCTACGTCGCAGACTGAAATTAATCTTCCATTTATAACAGCCGATGCATCTGGGGCAAAACACTTGAATATCACATTGACCAGGTCAAAGTTCGAGTCTTTGGTAAATCACCTGATTGAGAGGACCAAGGCTCCTTGTAAGAATTGTTTGAAGGATGCTTGCATTTCTACGAAGGATATTGATGAGGTTCTTCTTGTTGGAGGGATGACTCGTGTACCTAAAGTACAAGAAGTAGTGTCTGGAATCTTTGGGAAGAGTCCGAGCAAAGGTGTCAATCCTGATGAGGCAGTTGCTATGGGAGCAGCAATTCAGGGTGGTATACTTCGAGGTGATGTTAAAGAGTTGCTTCTGCTTGATGTAACTCCTTTGTCACTTGGTATCGAGACACTTGGTGGTATATTCACAAGGCTAATCAACCGGAACACAACCATCCCAACAAAGAAAAGTCAGGTGTGTCTTCGGTGCAAATGCTTGCATCTTTCTTTGAGAGGCATTTCATATGAAATGAAGTCTGCAGTAGTCCTTGGGACATGATAAGTTGACAATTTTTTTTGGTTTTGTTTTGTGCGTAACCGAAGTCTAATTGCTTCCAGAAATGTATTGTATTAATATTAATTATTTTTATTGTTCATGTTTGGTGGGGTTGATTTTTTTCAGGTGTTCTCCACTGCAGCTGATAACCAGACACAAGTAGGCATTAAGGTACTTCAAGGTGAGCGTGAAATGGCTGCTGACAATAAGACGTTGGGTGAGTTTGACTTGGTCGGCGTCCCACCCGCTCCTAGAGGCTTGCCTCAGATTGAAGTGACTTTCGACATCGATGCCAATGGTATTGTCACTGTTTCTGCCAAGGATAAGGCCACTGGTAAAGAACAGCAGATTACCATCCGTTCATCTGGTGGCCTCTCAGAGGATGAGATCGATAAGATGGTGAAGGAAGCCGAGTTGCATGCCCAGAAGGACCAGCAAAGAAAAGCCCTGATTGATATAAAAAACAACGCAGACACCACTATTTATAGTGTGGAGAAGAGCTTGAACGAGTACAGAGACAAGGTTCCTACCGAAGTTGCAAAAGTGATAGAGGATGCTGTCGCGGATTTGAGGAAAGCAATGGAAGGAGAGGATGTGGATGAGATTAAGGCCAAGATCGATGCAGCAAACAAGGCAGTGTCGAAGATCGGGGAACACATGTCTGGTGGTTCTTCCGGTGGTGGTGTTCAAGGTGGTTCTTCCGGAGGTTCCCAGGGTGGTGGTGACCAGGCACAAGAGGCCGAGTACGAAGAGGTGAAAAAGTGAGTAATTAGCCAACGATTCTCGTAGTTGTTTCCCTTATTTCTGAAATGGTACGTCGTTAAAGCAGTTTTGCATCTAAATGAACAAAAAAGATGAATGTATCAAAGCCTGTTATGAATTTGAGGGCACAGACCTTTCAAACACGAGGTTACACAAATTTATCTGACAGGTGTCCTAAACAAGGAAGGCTCCTTTCGGCTGATATAATATTTGCATATTGGCTACCTGTTGTTGCCACTCAATCATTTCATCTTTTCTATCGATACATTCAATCGTCACTTTTATAGATAATTTTAAAAATCTTTTTGGATGTGTAGTTTATAGGATTATACAATTATGAGAAAATGAATGCTTGCAAATTTATATAATATGAAAATTAATGTCATATTCTTGTCCGATGAAGTTGCATCTCATTATTATTTTTTCCTTCAACTTTTTTATTATTAGAAAGCAGGAATTTAAAAAAATAAAGAAAAATATTTTTTTTTCATTTAAATTTAGTATATTGTTTTTATTTAAATTAAAAAAATGTTGTATCCGAATATTTTTTTATTTAATTAAAATGAAGTCATGATAGTTTCTATTAATTAAAATATTTAGTCATCGAAATTATGATTATTATCGGTGAGAAAGTGAAAAAAATTAAATAAAAAAGATCAAATTCTAGTTAAATAAAAAAAATGATAAAAAGTATAATTTTTGAATTTTATGAAAAACGTAAAAATCAAAACGAAAACGATTAATACAACAACAACAAAACCCTATTTCCTTATGCAATGGGATAAGGGGAGGTAGGGCAGTAGGCTGCCCCCAACGCCAGGTTGAGAGCAACTTCCGTGGAAAACCTCCGACAGTCAGAAAAAATATATAAATAAAGATAAAATACAATGCATGTATAAATAGATAAATAAATACATAGTTGAACAGTCATCATATGCAGTCTTCATATGCGCGTCTGTAATGGGAAGTAATCCCTGCACATGAATCCCTGCGTAAAAATCTCTTAATATAGACAGAAACGTAAGTCTCGGCTAAATTTAAAAAGAGAAAACATGGAGAGAATGATACACAGAAGTCAACGATAACAAGCTTCGAGAAGAAATAAGGCCTAATGGGTTAGAAGCTAAAACTAATGTTAACCTAGTTTTATGCCTTCATAAATTCCAATAACAGAAACGTATAAAAAGTAGAGATCATGACAGAAACGAAAACGATTAATCTTATAGTTTATTTTAATTTTGAATAATTGTTTAATTATTTTGTTATTATTTTTGAATGAATTAAAAAAAATTAATCTGTAATGTCATACACAGTCTTTCCATTTCGCTTGTTTTCAACTTTGATGTTCTCAGTTTCTTGCTCAGAGGCGAAGAATTTTATAGCGAGCAAATGTCAAACGTTCTTGAAGAAGACCCAGAATCCGAATTTGCATATAATAATCTATCAAGATAAGAACTTCCCACAGATTTATTGTTATTACTGTTATTATTATTATTATTATTATTAATGTAAAAGCATGAGTTAAATCAAATCATTTTAATAAACGTCGGGATTAATATCGATAATCATCTGTGACGATCGAACAAGCAGTCCCTTGACCATCAAGGAACACAATCAGAACGTCACAATATACATGCTTGAGAAATAAAATACAGCAAAGGCATGTAGCTGTGTTTGGGTTCCGAGAAAATTGAAAGAAAACATAATTGTGGGGAAAAAGAAGAAAGAAGAAGAAGAAAAGTTAGGTATACCTTTTTACCATACACCGGCAAAAGGAGACAATTTGTGATATAATGGGGTGTTTGATAAACAACTTTTTAAAGAGATTTTAGTTTATTCGAGTATAAATAGTTGATTCTTGACCAAATTCTCTATTTTTAGTGTTCGGTAAACATCTTTATGAAATAGTTGGTTGTGCAAAAATAAGCTAAAAATGAAAACGCTAAAAAATCCAACGGTTTGAAAAAGCTGATTGCAAAATAAGATGTTAAATGACATATTTGATCTTATTATTTCCATAATTACACCCTTGTCATAAAACTTAATCTAATGAAATACCCTCTATTCTAATGTGAAAGTGGCTTGAATATTTATGTAATCTAAATTTATTTTTAATGAATTTGTGTGAAATGAATTTTATGCAACGTCTAATGATGAATTATTGAAATTTTATTTTATTAGTCTATTTTTTAGTTGTATATTCTCGAATATATTTTAGTTAAGAAAATATAACAAAACCTAAAAGTAAAAAAAATATAGTGCTGCTAATTTATACGAGGTTAATAATATGTATCAATATCATAAGGTTAATATTTGTAAATATTAAAATTTAAAAATATATTCAAAATTTTAAGAAATATTCACTAATTTTTAAGGAATTTTTTAGTTCATTATCAAAAACATTTTATCCGAATAATTTTACCCTAATAAAGACTAAAGTATTATAAAATATATATATATATATATATATATATATATACTTAACAACTAAATATATCATACCCTTATTTATCATTTTACCTATATCAACTATCAGCTAAATTTTACCAAACACTTCTATATAAACAGTTAATCAAATCAATTTATCAAATCAGCTAATCAAATCAGTTGATAAAACCAACTGCCGAAATCAACTATCAGCTATAAGCTATAAGTTTTTTTTGGCCAAACACCCCAATATTGCCCTAAAAATGTCCTATAAACTTTAGGCATGATATCGTTAGTGAAAATAATTTAATCTCATTAATAGTAGACAATTCACTACTTTTAATTTGAGTGAAGAGCCGTAATTAGTAAGAAGACCATCACTGACCGGTGTTAACTAACGAGAGGTTTGAAGGCATGATGAGAGTTGTAGTGAAGGGTATTTATAGTAGTTCTTTGCAAATATCGTCATATATAAGGTTAGAGTAAACTACGCTAGATATCATAGGCGTTATATCGTTTATCCACCGAGCTTTTAATTTTGCTAATTATAACATTAAATTTTGATTTTCTGTCTCAATTATACCACTGGACCGTTAAGTCGTTATTAGTTGAATCAAAACGACTTTGTTTTGGTGAGGTGTGTACGTTGACAATCGTCAACCAAGTCAGTAACCGTCAGCCACATCATCGTTATAAACTTATTACAGACATTAGAAAATGGTTTTTAATAATAATTGAAAATAAGTATTTAACTCGCAACTTATGACAATTAAAAAATAATAATAGTAGGTTTCTAATTTTAAAATTCTATCGGCTATAAACGGCAAGTTTTTATCGTTGTTGATGGTTATTATTACTAGTAATTGACACGTTCGCATCACCGATAATTTTTTATAGATCGGATTTTCCTTTTCAAACTCTTCTATATAATACTTTCCTAACCCCTTTCCATTTTCGCACAAACATTTTATTTCACTTCTTGTAAAATTTTCCTAGGAAACAGGAAAAAAAGAACTTTTTTTTCTCGAGAAAGGATAAGAAAAAGAACAGAAAAGAAAGGAAACGAAAAGAAAAGAAAAGAAAAAGACATTTCCTTTAACGGAAACGATCAGCAAATATTATTAGAACGAAACGATGAGTTATTACGATCAAAAACAGCATCCCGTCGGCGTTCCTCCTCCGCAATGTCAGCCTCTTGATCTCTCTTTTTCAATAACATTTTGACTATTATTGAATGTATTTACTCATCGTTTGGTTGTTGTTTTTATCGGATCATAGATTATCCGCCACCTCCGGGATATCCACCGCAAGAAGCTTATCCTCCACCGGCGTATCCACCACCACAAGGGTACCCTCCTCAAGGATATCCTGCTCAGGGATACCCTCCTCCCTACGCCCCTCAAAAGGAAAAGCGCAATGGTTGCTTACAGGGCTGGTAAGCATCTTATACATACGTATACATGATTATATATATTCATGCATGGTACAGGGCCAAAGCCTCTGTTTGATCCTTTGCTCCACCTTTTATTGCCGTCAACACGATACGATAAAAATCATCTGTAATCGCAATCGCAATTTAAATTCCTTCGAATATAATTATTGGCTTTCATTTTACCTGCAGTTTGGCTGCTATTTGCTGTTGCTGCTTGCTGGATGCTTGTTTTTGAGGACCAATAATTCAGCCTTTGCATGTAATTCAACCGTTCTCTCTAATAAAATGTACTAGTATTTGAAAAAAAACATTTTCAATGACCATTTCTGCTATTGTCCCATTATCCGACTTAGTAAAAGAAATTCATGGTAAAAGAGAATGTTAACCTCCCTAGATGTTCTGGGTTCGAGCAATTACGATTGATCATTATCGAGTTCGAGTACTTTGAGTATCTTAATACTCGATTCTAGTAGCTCATGTGTCATATTCGATATTTAATGTCCAAATTAATGGATAGTCTTACAAACTATTTAATTGATATTCAATTAAACGTATTTAGAAGTTTAAGACTAATTTAAAATTTTGGTCATAATTTGAGGACTTCAGTTACAATTAACCCAATCACTGATTTCAAACTTTCCCGCCATTTAACCCCAGCAATGCGTCACGTTTTCGCTCTCAACAGAAAACTCGGCCATGTAATCCCTCACTTCTTTTTGGATCATCTCTTGAATTGCCGCCGCCACTGTCGGTGCAAGCGATGCCTCCGTTGTCTTAATTCCACCGACTTGTTCTTCCACAAATGGTTGTTTGTGTTCGTTCTTCTCCTTTGATGAGTTAATATTATTGACATCGAACAATTCGTTCCATGACCGTCCGAGAGTAAGCTCCGTTGAAACATCAATGGCAACGAAGTGCTTGTTTGACTCTGTAACGTTTGATCCCAAATCGCTGGCTTCAGAACCTGAAGGGCTCTCCGTTCTTGGAGATTTCGCCGATCGTTTCTCCGATTCTTGAATTGAATCCCCGTCTTCCACCGTTGATAGCTTTCGCTTCAACGTCGAGTTCCAATGATTCTTAACGGCATCATCCGTACGTCCGGTGAGGAGCTTAGCAATGGTTTCCCACCTATTGTCGTACTTGGCGCGCGCCCTCATGATGACTCCGTCTTCCTCCAATGTGAAAGCGTGAAGCTCGACGTCCGGTGATAGTTGATTGCACAATCGTGGTTGACGTCCGGGGATCGACCTCGATATCAAAGACCTGCTTCGAGCACCGTGTGGGTTCACCAACTTGCGCAATGCTTCATCCTCCTCGACGCTCCATTGTCCTTGAACCTGTTCTTGATCCATTGGAGCTTAATAGCAACCAGCTCGAATTCTATCGAATATTTCGACGGCCGGTGGCTAGACGGGCGAAGATAAATGAAGAATGAGGCCGGTCCGGTGGTTGAGTTGTTGAAGGCTTGGGTTTTTATAGAGGTAAATCCTAAATAAGAAGGTTTAGTTACGTCGTTACGGTAACTAATTAACTAATACAGGTAATAAGTACAATTAGGTTAACGACGTTACAGTTGGATAACGTTTTACGAGAAACCGCCAATGCGTTGGATTAGTTAAGAGATTTTAAATTTCTTGACTTAATTATTAAAATTAAGGGTAAAGTATACAAATAGTCCCTCGACTATAACATATTATTTTATTAAGTCATTCAACTATTAAAAGTTACAGAATGGTAAATCAAATATTCATTATATTACAAACTCATCATCTCCTATTAAAAAATTGATGGTTTTATAAGTTGGACGTTGGCATGATGACTGAGATATGATAGTCATTTGAGATTCTTGGAATATATTTTATCACATCAGAGTCAGTAGGATAACGTTCAGCTCAGAATATCATCTATTTTTTAACAGAAAAGGACGTGCTTGGAACATAATGAATAGTTGGGTGATCATTTTGTAACTTTTAATAGTCGAAGGACTCAACAAAGCAGTACTCTATAGTTAGATGATCATTTTGTAACTTTTAATAATCAGTGAACTTAATAAAGCAGTAAGCTATAGTCGGGGACCATTTATGTACTTTACCCTAAAATTAAAAAAATAATTTCAAACAAAATAATATTTAATTTAATTAAAACCTTTAATCTCACCTCCATTAACTGAGTCAACATAACAATAATCAAAGAAGGTTCTACTTACACTTTTTAGTCAAACAACCTTAAATTAGATCCAAATAAATCAGCTAATTTTGAATATTAGGGTAACATGTGCATTTAGTATCTAAACTTTTAATCTTTTCAAAATTATATCTATAATTTAATTTTTATTTTATTTTAATACTTGTCATTAAAAATTTAACATATTTAGTACCTAAATTATAAGTATTGGTCTGTTTTAACACCTAAACTTTGAAAAAAAATTTAGAACTTAACATTAAATTTTGAATGTGACACTAAAATTAAACAAAAAAACTAAAATTTTTAACTGTGAGTACTAAAATGAAACAAAAACATAAAGATGCGGATGTGAAATTCAAGCTCCAAGACACCGACGCCTCCATGGCCAACGCCCTCCGCCGCGTCATGATTGCCGAGGTCCCCGCCATCGCCATCGACCTCGTCGAGATCGAAGTCAACTCGTCCGTCCACAACGACGAGTTCATCGCGCATCGACTCGAATTTTGTGTTTGATGGTTATTATTCGATTTCACTGCTGCTGCTAAAGAGGTTATTATCGGGCGCATGTTTCTTGGTTGAAAACAGGTTGTGGTGGTTGATCCTGAGGCATATACCTACGACGATGATGTGCTAAAGAAAGCTGAAGCTATGGGCAAGCCGGGCCTTGTGGAGATACATGCCAAAGAAGACGGTTTCATTTTTACCATCGAATCCACCGGTGCTGTCAAAGCTTCTCAGCTGGTTGTCAATGCCATAGAAATCCTTAAATAGAAGCTCGATGCAGTTCATCTGTCCGATGATACCGTGGAAGCTGATGATCAATTTGGTGAGCTAGGTGCCCACATGCGAGGAGGTTGATCCACCTGTAAAATAGAACCGATAGCTCTCGGAGAAGGCATGTTCTTCATGTTACCGACCGCATCTTGTTTTGAAACTCTTCGGATCTTTAGGGACAAAGTCGACTACTTTTGTTTCTCCTCGAAATCTTGATTTGAAAGCCCTTGAAGCCATAGATTAGCTGCGAGTTTTTAACTTTTCAAGTGTATGAATGGCCTCTTGGTTTCCACCTCAAGTGTCTATTGCTAACTGTTTTTTAATCATTTAGGTGTTTAACATTATAAATGCTATCACTTTAGGTGTCTGAACAGAAACCGTCGTTAAAGGAAGGATACGTGTTACATTTTGATAGTTTTAAAAAGTTTATTTAAAATTAAAATTATATTTTTAAAAGATACAAAATTTTCGAGAAACTTTAAAAAGTCCCTAAACTTTGAAAACCTTATTTCAACCTCTAAACTCACGCCGGCTACCACCTTTTGTCATCGACAAAGCTTCATCCGACCTCACCTCCACTCGATGTTCGATAACCCTATGAAATCGCAACCAATCGATACTTGTACCCGATGAACCCTACACATCAAATTGTGACCCCACACGATCGGCCAAACGACGATAAGTATGGTAACATATAACTAGGAAGATGACAAGGATGACAAGGAAGACATCGATAGTTTAAGGTCATGGATTTAGAATTTTTAGGGATTTGAGGTTTTTTGTATTTCAAGAGAAATTGAGTTTTTTTTTTATAAATATAATAATATTTTTTTTGAAAAAATTCAAAATTGTTATAAGGTGACATGTGTCACTAGAGATGGGCACGGGTGGGGTGGGCTGGTTTTTTAGCCTCCCCGCCCCGATGAATTTTAGGTTTTTTCCTTCTCCAAATTTAGACTAAAACTCCGATCCTAACCCGATCTAAATATATTAAATTTTAGAAATAATTAAAATAACATATTTTATAATAATATATTTATAATTATTTATTATATTTTAAATGATTAAATTAATATATTTTATTATATTTTTAATAATTAAATAATATATTTTTATTAATATACAAATAAAAAATTCTTAAAATATTAAATATATATATATATATATATATATAAATTAATCACCTTAAACCCGACCATGTCCTGCCTCAAAATTTTATACCATATAAATCATCTCGTTTCGTCTCGAGCCCCGAAATTAAAAAAATTGCCACAATAGGGTCAGGTAGAGTCGGGATCCGTCATATTCGAGTATTTTGACCATCCCTACGTGTCACTTAACGTAGATATTTAACCGTAGTTACAAATCGAACACATAAAATAGTAACGTTTGGAACATTAAACACTTGTATAATAAAAAAAAGTTTAAACACCTACTTGCACACTTATTTTATAACTAAGCCATTAACATTTAATCAATGTAAAGCTGCAAATACACCTTCCAATTTTGGTGTAATTTTTTATAAATAAATTTGGATTATCTCTATCTTTCTATTTTTTTTAAAAAAAAAAATTCTTATTGTTGCTCTAAATATGTTTATTTTTCTCTAAAAATATAAGGTACTCAACATATTTGTAGGAGAAGCAAACATACTAGAAGAGATGACAGCAAAGGTTCAAAGTTGTAGGCACATGATTGAGGTTGACCTATTGGAGACATTCAACAAAAGCAAAAGTTTATCATGTAAAGGGACCCTTGTTGAGGGCCAAATGTCCCTAGCAATAAATTTTACCAATTAAAGATGTGAGGGGAAATTGGTGTAAATTAAAGACCCATCTTTACTTTTGAGTTTATGACCAACCTCATTTGATGCATTAAAATTTTGATTTTGATCTGATTTAACATAATTTTTAGGGTAAACTACACCAAATATTATCGAACTTTAGGCGTTGTAGCGAATATATCACCAAACTTTTAATTTTATCAGTTATAGTACCGAACTTTGATTTTCGTTTCAATTATACAACTGGACCGTTAAATTGTTAACAACCGGATCAAAACGACGTTGCTTCGATGAGGTGTCTACATCGATAGTTATTAGCCACGGCAACAGTTGTCAACCACATCGACATGTCTTTAAGGATTTAACGGTTTAGTGGTATAATTGAAATAAAAATCAAAGTTCAATACTATAATTGACAAATGTTCGGTGGTATCCTAATTTTTTTATTCACATATTTCTTTAAAAATTAGAAAAGAATAGAAAAAAAATACCAATTTATTCAATTTAAAAAATAAAATCAATGTAAATATTAATTTAATATAATAATTCTGATTATGATATTTTTTAGGTGAGGGTAGATCGAGGGTATCGAGTGGGTCGGTCGCTCATTGAAAATTTCAAAATCTTATATTTTAGATATTTTCTTTAGGTTTAAGGGCTACTTTTGCCCATGTATTAAACTCAATTTATCGTTTTCACCCCAATGGTATTTTCGCATCAATTTAGTCCTCGAAAATTATTTAATTGCATCATACTAAAAATCTAAACCCTAAGCAATAATAAATATTTTAAATAATGAAACCATGTCGTCATGTCTTTAAGGATTTAACGGTTTAGTGGTATAATTGAAACAAAAATCAAAGTTCAATACTATAATTGACAAATGTTCGATGGTATCCTAACTTATTTATTTATTCAAATATTTCTTTAAAAATTAGAAAAGAATAGAAAAAATGCCAATTTATTCAATTTAAAAAATAAAATCAATGTAAATCTTAATTTAATATAATAATTCCGATTATGATATTTTTTTAGGTGAGGGTAGATCGAGGGACTCGAGTGGGCCGGTCGCTCCTTGAAAATTTTAAAATCTTATATTTTAGATATTTTCTTCAGGTTTAAGGGCTACTTTTACCCATGCATTAAACTCAATTTATCGTTTTCAACCCAATAGTATTTTCGCATCAATTTAGTCATCGAAAATTATTTAATTGTATCATACTAAAAATCTAAACCCTAAGCAATAGTAAATATTTTAAACATTGATGTAATTAAACAATTTTAAAGGTTAAAAATCTATTTATGCCCCTTTAAAACGTTATAAGCTCGTCCTTTTAGCATAAAATAATGTGTTCTTCCATGTTTATAAGATATAACTTCAATAAATGTAGAGAATAGAGAAGATTGATGGTATAATTGTTGTAAGGTCCCCCATGGGGATATTACAGTTGGAAGGTTTAAAGAAGTTCCTTAACTCGGAGGACCATGGTCCTAATGAAGGGGAACCATGCAATTTGTGAGGGACAGCTTGCATCATTCATCCATGGCTTTTGACTGGGTTCATTATTTCATGTCAGTTCTATTTAGTATGTTAGATAGGATTGTTTATTA